ATTTTTTGATTCTGATGATTACAGATGACACAGGCCTGTCTACCGATTTTTTTGCTGCTCTTGGCGGATGTCTCATTTATTCAGCCATTCTATTGTATTTTCATGAATAAAAAAATTGAAATGTTCTCGAAAATGTACACAATCATTTGGGAAAAAAATTAATTGCATAACTCCTATAGATTTTCTTAAAAAAATTCCAGAAAATAGGCTTTTTTTTCGACCGTCTAGGTGGGTATACCCCCTTAAGGATTAAGCGCTATATATGTATTGTATGTACAGTCAGAGTCTAAAAAAAAGCAACATTTTTTTTTTAATTTTTATTACTTATGGATCCACAAGTAAGAACCAATCGTTTGGTGAATAAATTACATTCCGAAACTCATTTTAAAAAAAATGTTGCAATCTTTTAGGTTCTGACTATACATATACTTTGATCAGTATTTATTTAGAATCGCTACTTCACTTTCTAATTTAACGAAATTAGGCTCATTCGACACATTTTCACTCAAAATGAAAACCTACTTTGCTCATGCTATGTATAAAAACTCATATAAAATCGTTCATCATGGGTTTACAACTTTGCATGCAAAGCAAGATTTAATTTAAAAAATAAAAAAATGTGAGTATTTATCTATTTTAAAAACACAAATTCTCTGCTTTAAAACATTCTCTACTGTAGAAACAACAATTAAATAGAAAATAATGTTTTTTTAAAGCAGAAACTTTGTATTCTTAAAGCAAAGATTTTATTTTTTAAGTAGAAAATGTTTATAAAACGAAGAATTTGTATAATCCTTGATGCGATTGATGTGAGATTTTCTAACTTTAATAATCGTTAATTTTAATGCTGATTCTACAATAAGTCAATAGTTGGAAATCTTAAGTCGTAACTAGTTTTAACTTAAATAGATGATTATAAGTTTTTGCATCTACTAATTGTTAGTTATACAGTGAGCTGTTTAACTCGACTCATGGAAATAAAGTTGAATTTGATCAGTCTTAAGAAAATCGGTAGTCTTTGTCATATAAGTTTGTTGTTGACCAATTTCACCAATTCATTGATAAAACTTAGGACTACCGACTCATTGGAAATTCAGCTTAACAATTAATATCTTGATAAAGCAACTCTTTTTTTCTCCTAGATTTGTTCATTTTGTACAAAAACATGTCAAATAAATAATTTCATCAAAATCAGTGTGAGTGAGCTCATCTCCTTCATTAATTACCTATAACTTTTTAATAATAACAAATATTAAAAATTAGTTATCTATTGCTTATATTCCTACCTGAATATCAACAGTCTCGTAAACATGCTCATATACTTCCCGTACTGCACTAAGAAAATCACTTTGTAATACCTTCTGTAATGCTGCTAATTTTGTTGTAGGAACTTCTCCTCCTAAATAAAATTAATCTTGTAGAATTAAATAATTGTTAAAATACATAAAATATTTTGTTCTACAATTGCTTACCTTTCTGTAGTTTATCTAATAATTCTATAGATCTTTTGATATCTACAAAAGATAAAATTTCATGTAATTTCAATATAATTTCTACAATAATCATCAAATGTCATTTATATATTGTAACAGCATATTTATATCAACTTGTAAAACTAATAATAAAAACTTACCTCTTGCTAAAGTGAGAGGCTCACCCATGGTAGCCATATTTTGTTATAACAATTTGTGATTTTCTTTCTCAATTATACTTTAATTAGCGTATGTATATACTGTAAAATAGTGATAAAAATACAGTTTAAGGTTTTTATTTGTCACTGCAAAATTATGTTCAAGTAATGTTGATCTTTCTTTCAATAAATAAATAGGTCAATGCTAATTTTCAACGATTGCGCATAATCGAACAAATAGGGAATAGAATAAGAATTTCGTAAGAATTTCAACCTATCAAAAACTATATTATAGAATATACAATTCCTGATAGGTTAAAATTCATACTCTGTGTTCCCCATTCTTTATATATATAACCATGCAGAACTTTTTACTCACTCAAATCGACAAGATGAAAGTCTACAGTCTACAGTGAACGTTGCGGCCAGTGTTGCAAGCTTGGTGGAAGCAGAGAGAAACCTGAGAGAGGATATGACGGCCCAAAACCTGTAATCGCAAAATACTGCCGCGCACTACTGCCCTCTGACAAAGTGGATGTAAACTATATAGCAACGACTATTTTTCTGTTACATGTAGCAGGATTATATGAACCAAATATCAATTTATCATATTTAGCCTTGAAAAATGGACGATGTACCCTAAAAAAAAATGGATGTTGCTATATAGTTTACATCCATTTTGTCAAAGGGCAGTAGTGCGCGGCAGCATTTTGCGGTTACAGGTTTTGGGCCGTCATGTCCTCTCTCAGGTTTCTCTCTGGTGGAAGTAACATAGGCCTAACTTACACCGAGGGTTTAATCCGAATCAGAATGTAAGAACCAACCAACTACAATCGAGCATTCCCCTGTCGTTTGACTATAATAGGTAGAAACTAGGCCATAGAATGTTCAGAACTTGAAAATCACGCCCCTTTTCGCATCAAGAGAACTTAATAGTCTGTTTTCTGTAGCTGAACTAGGGTACATTTTTGGAACTTAAAGTGAAATAAGTATATGTTTGTTATTTGTCGAAAGCGAGAAAGAGACTGTTAGTGCAGTCTAGAACAAAAAGCAGACCAAATGCTTACTGGATGCCCTATTCTTGAATAGTATTGCACACGAAAAAATAGAGAAATGCTATAATATATGTAACGCATATTATAGTATTTCCTTAGTTTTTCGTACGTGATAAGCCTTAAACACAATGCGAAGGAATAGCGATAGTGATAGAAATAACATGATTCCAATCCATCAGAAATCAGATTCACTAGAATATACACTTTCTGATAGGTTGAAATCGTGTTATTCTTATCACTATTGCTAATTCTTTGCACTGTGTTTAAGGCTATACTTTTTGAGAATAGGGGCCCTACTCACTAATAGCGTTTTTTATTAGGTCTGTTCGTGTTACATAAAATCTCCAAATATTTTTGCACTTAAAATGAAATAGATATATATTTGGCCTTGAAAAGAGAAAAAGTAAAAACGTCGAGTGCAAAAAGTACAAGCAACGCGAACAGATCTACTGGCAGAACTGGTGCGCACTCAGTACACAATAAAGCTATTGTACATTAACCTAATCTGACTGTAAAAATGAGAGATTTCAATTAATAAAATACCCAATGTATATTTTATCAAATATCACAATAAAATATGTTAAGGATTTCGTGATTTAATTCGTTTCTATATTTTTATTAAACGTACATCGTTATATAAATTTGTGTACAACGGCTTTAAAGCGCACTCATGGCTCCTGCACACTAGACGCGGAAACGTTTACCGCGCAACAAAATGAGACGCAATAACCAATGAACACATTAAGAGCTGTAAGCTTGTTGGCTACCGCATCACATTTTGCCGCGTAGCAAGCGTCCAGTGTGAAGGAGCCATGAGTGCGTTTGCCGCGTGGCAGAAGTTGGCGCGACAGCCAATCAACATCTCGCTTTCTCGGAAGTAACAGATATATAATTTCTACCGCGCGACAAAAGTTAAACTTAATCTAACTTTTGCTGCGCGACGAAAGTAGTATTACATCATTTCTAAAAGTTTTGCAAAGAGGGGCCAACTTGAGAACATAGAATTATAGGCTAGTGCAAAAATTTCCGCCGCGTGGCAAGCGTTCTTGGGTTCTGTATGCAGGAGTCATAAGGCCCAGTTCCCCAACTCACAGTTAATTCTTAATTGAGGTTCAACTTATTCATTGTCTCCAATTCTAGAATTCGAAAGAGATGATAAACAAGTTGAATCTTAGAGTTAACCGTGAGTTGTGGAACTAGGTCTAAGTTAAAGTTAATCTACATTGGTGGAAACAGGCGTGTCAATCGTGATTGGTTAATTCTGTAATTCTGCTAAACAGCAAATGCAATTGATCAGTTCCAATGTAACAATCGATCAAATAAGTTAAATAAAGTTGGTGAGCCAGTCCTTAAGCGGCACACGATGCTTGTTTTCCTGCTGGATTGCTAACAGGATTAGAAGCTTGCCACCATATTGGCTGCGTTGCTAGTACTGACAAAGCTTATGCATCTGATTGGTATATTCCGTTAAATTTAAAAATATAGAAACAGATACAAGAGCTCACTGAGTGCTCAGTACTTGCCTAGTTTAAAGCTTTAGATACCAAAATAGCACATAGGTCCTCCATTTTAGACTTACTAACCATACCCTACATCAATAATACTAAGCGTTTATTGGACTACAAACAATTAAAGCGAAATGGCGATCGAATAATAAGAAGGCTATCGGCATTTCGGCTCAGATAAAAAGAATGCGCTATTTTGGTATCTAGAACTTTAGCCTAGTTTACATCGTGCTTGATACACGTATTAACTTTCTGTTAAATTATTTTAATTTCTGCAATATATTTAAAGAATGATGTACTAAATTCTTTGACTATATAACTATGGACTGCTGGTTACCCCCACTATTCCGTAAGATAGACAAAGAGACTCGCATTAGTAAATATCACGCATGCCCCCGCCAGTGAAATATCGAAACATAGTCACATTGCAATGATAAAAGAGAAAGAAAGAGAGAAATAGAATACGATATATGTTGCATTATTTTATTACATTTTGTAAAGTGCAGAATCAAAATAAAATATGCATGTATAAATTTAACACACAATAGTAAAATATAGATAACAAATGTTAATAAACATACATATATATTATTTAATAGCTATATAAATATAACATGTAATATTCAATAGCTATACAAATAATGTTATATTATTGACCGCTAAAAATTACAGCTTTTGTTAACGTGTGTCTCAAAAGATTTTTTTGTTTAGATATTGTGATGCAATTTCCTTCATAAAATACAATATTAAAATAAGTACGGCTATCAAATAACTTTTTAAAAAGTTAATAATATTGATATATTTTACACGCTTGTACTTAGCTTTTTACTGTGTTAAGCAGTGTAACATTGTATCATAGTTAGAACACTTTGTATTAATAGTAACTAACTAGGCAATACTGCCTATTTCTTTTGCTGTTATTACATGGAGTGCGGTTTGCGGCACGGGCTAGCGACAAACTCACATTAGTATGAATTTTTTTAAATATATTAACTTATTTTTATGCACACTTTATCAATACTTTTATTTTTTTAACAGATTTACTTAATAATTGCGTTTAAATCATAATTCCATTAAAAAGTGCATAGCAGTGTATAGTAATGTGAGTTTGTTACTAGTCCGTGCCGCAAACTGCGCGCAAATCGCTGTAATATCAGCAAAAAAATAGACAATGTTTAAGTGAAACGATATGATTAGTCGGCGCAAGTTACGCCGCATGTGACGGCACCTTTTGAATGCGATTACATGAAGCGCGGTACGTGGTACGCGGTTCCCTAGTTACCTAGTTAGTTGCTATTAGTTATTGTACCGCGTACCGCGTACCGCGCTTCATGTAATCACACCTTTAGTTACTGTATCGCGTACCGTGCTCCATGTAATTGTATCCTAAAGGTGCCGTCACATGCGGCGTAACTTGCGCAAGCATAACTTGCGCCGACTAATCATATCGTTTCACTTGAACATTAGTTTCTATCTAGTCACTTTATGCTTTTTACGCTATTTTGTTGTTACGCCGAAACATAATGGAACCATGTGTTAAATTCAATTTCTCATTTTAGCTTACTCTGCTTGAAAAAATACGTGTGAGTTTCGATTTTGTAACAATACAATTATAGAAGTCGTGCGCTTCTTTGCATCGCGTGGAAAGTCGAAACCAATTGAAACCCAGTACAATTATAGACCTCATTTTGCCTTTGTAACAGATTTCCTAATCTCAATAGTTATCAACTGTAACGCTTAATATCTCAGGTTACAGAGCAGAGCGACGCTTTTTTTGCCAGATTCTTTCGTTTCATGCAAAAACGCGTCGAATAAGTTTAAGAGTAGTCTCATAAAACTTTTCGATTTTAATAATTCGTTCAATCATCCGCTCATATATACGCGATGGAAAGGTGTTGGTTCCCCATGAGGCGTACTTTTCAAGATGCAAAAACCAATAAATTCATTTAGCATTTCTGTTAGAGTGTACAACAGAAATTCTAATCACCAATTGGTCGCATTTCTCTAATCTTCCGCGAAATACGCCCAATGTAAATACCAGCTTTCAGAATGGCATATTCTAGTAAATAAAATCTAACGTATTCTAATAAAATTACTAGAATCTGCAAGTTACGCTTACGCAAATTACGCCTCATGTGATGACACTCTAATAGTAACTAACTAGGCAACTAAAAAACCGCATACCGCCTATTTTTTTCACTGATAGTACAAGGAACGCGTTTGCAGCACGGACTAGTGACAAACTCACATTAGTATACATATTTTTTTAAATATTAACTTATTTTTATGCACTCTTTATCGATACTCTTTATTTTTTTAACAGATTTACTTAATAATTGCCTTTAAATCAATTAATTCCATTAAAAAGTGTATAGCAGTATAGTAATATGAGCTTACTAGTCCGTTCCGCAAATCGCATTCCATGTAATATCAGAAAAAGAAATAGGCGGTGCGTAGTACGCAGTTCTTTAGTTGCCTAGTTAATTATTATTAGTTACTGTACCGCGTACCGCGTACCGCGCTTCATGTAATCGTACCTTAAGACACTGTGGCGTTGCAAGCGTTAGTTGCGGCGCTTGAGTCAGTTCTTTTTCCGTTTTTCCTTTCTCTCTCTCTCTCTCTCTCTCTCTCTCTCTCTCTCTCTCTCTCTCTCTCTCTCTGGTATCATGGCGTTCTGCGTGCGAACCTTTTGTAAGCCTGTGATAAATTTTAGTTAGCGCTCGGTAAAATTAATAATCATTTTCACTGCGAGATCGACATCGGTTACTGTTCATGTCGTTAGGTA